CTGTGAAAGTTGAAATAGATTTTGCTTTCCTTTACCCTTCTGTACTTCTTTTGCAGAAACGCTGGTGGCAGATGCAGAGGAGCTTCCTGCCAGTTCATTGAATTGACAAATTAGCTAAGCTCCCCTTGTTCTTGATCCCAAGAGCATTTACAGATTCGACCAACAAAGCATATTGGCAGACATTTGTGGTAGGACTAGGATAGGGCAACAGAAATGATGCAAATGAACTCAAGAGGGAAAAAAAAAAAAAACAACCCTCATTATATTGCCACCAGTGACAAAGGCAGCGAAAGAAAAGTTACAGGCAGAGCCTGATAGACAGAGCTCAACAGAGCAGAGCGTGTCTAAAAGCATGTTGCTACCACAAGCATTCATTCAGAGACACACAAACACCACACTGAAAAAAAATTCTACTTAGTGAAACAACAAAATAATCTATTAACTTCCTTTTTGAAATAAACATGAAAAGAACTGACTCTCAGTAATAAAGCTGTAACCTTCTGGCTGTAATATTGAGTATATGACTGGATCGATCTATTAAGGAATACATACAAGAAGAGGTGCTGCCCAACTCGTGACTTTTTTTCCCCCTATCATATAAAACTTATATGCTACAACTTGCACTTTCTGATTTCAGGTCTACTTGGATTTGAAAGGAATGTTTTTGCCCCTTGAAGGAAGCGTTCAGCAGCTGCAAACTCCATGTTACTCCCCTTTGGTCTCTTACTGTAGTTTTCATTACCTGAATATTCTCAGGTACTTATGACAACAAGGAAGAAGCCATATCTTACTTATTCAGTAGGAATGATGAATAATGAATTTTTCTTAGGAATGAAATAAAAAGGAATAAAAAGTTTGTTTCCTGCTATGACAGTTTGCAAGGAAGCTGGATTGTATTTAACGGATAGAAGCCCTGGATACTATAGTTCAAGTACATGCAAACGTTACCTTTTAATGCAGAAAGCTGGAGATAGTAACAACTACAAAGGAGACAAAAGAAACCTAATCATTAAACTTCTTGTGTCTTATTTGATAGGCAAATAAATGTATTATATATAGAGATAAGTAAATATATGTACTACTCACATTATATGCAAACTTACAGAATCATAGATTCTTTGGCTTGGAAGGGACCTTTTAAGGTCACCTAGTCCAACCCCTCTGCAATGAGCAGCGACATCTTCAACTAGATCAGGTTGCTCAGAGCCCCGTCCAACCTGGCCTTGAATGTTTCCAGGGATGAAGCATCTATCACCTCTCTGGACAACCTGTTCCAGTGTTTCAAACTACTACTTACAATATAATTTTCTTGAAACTGTTCTGTTTCACATCATAGCCTACTGTTGTTCTAGTCACTTAAACAGCATTTAACATGATTTTGTCTGGGAAACACCATTTAATCTAATAGACTGAATGACATTACTGTTTCTTAATTTTATTTGGGCAAAGTTCTTTCCTTGGCCCGAGATGAATAAGTTACACAATTTTTTGTAATCTGTGCAGTATAAACTAGATTTTAACACAATTCTGATTGCATTTCCTTTTTCCCTCCCTCTAGTTAGTTTATCTCTACAGGAAATGTCTTCCTGTTTTGTTATGATAAAGCAATAACGCACCTCTGCATTAGTATGAAAATAGAGATAGACATCTCCAAAATAAAGTTCAGAAAATTTTTTCAAATAAACTATGACAAGAGTTCACAGAAGAGGCACACCCTCTGAGAACAGCATGGTGTAACCAAAGAGGGACTACACTCTTCCAACTTTTTCCTAGTTATCCTGGGAGGGGTTAGGTGGCAAAGTTGCTAAAATGCTCTCAGATGACTCAAGTCATCATTCTGAAAGTGTCATATACTAGAAACTATTCTGAATACTTGAATTGAGGAATGCGCTGCATACTAAGTTTTAATAAAATATAATAATAAAAAAAGCACGCTGGTTACTAGACAAAAATCTGCTGTTTGTCATGAGCTTTTTCTTCCTGTTTTTAAATAATGGTCTTGTTACCGCATCATTACCATTTTGTACTCATCAACAAAATCTGACATACAGTGAAAAGCATGCTCCAGTAGCTGTCATTTAGCTTTACTAGACTTCATGTCCCCAATGAAAAGCACATGTCCTAAACACTTCGAAAATAAGTTATAACTCCCATATCACTCCAAGCATAAGAATCAATTTTCCTCTAATTAAGAGTCACCACTGATGTGCCAGACAAACTAACTGTCCCAAAGGAAGCGTGGAATGTTCTTAAATAGTGAAAATAAAGAACAAAGCATTTCTTCTACCTCGCCAACCACTTTAAACATAAGCTATACAGTGCTGGAGAAAGAAGCTCATTTGTTAGATAAAAACCTATATAGCATACATGTACGTGCCTATACGTACACTACAAAAAAACCCCAGGATGTCACCCCTGAAATGATCTAAAAATACTCATATTCTTAATGTGATCTGGAATCTTAAACTTTGCTTAAGGATCAAATGAAATTGTCTTAGAGAAGTCCACTTGCCAATATCCTCACCACCAGTAAGGTCTTTTCTTTAATAATAAACAGGCGGTGGTATCTTCCTAAACAGAAGAATATAAACGGCCACTGCTTTAAAATATGCAAATGTATTTTACAGATTTTTTTAATTTACAAATAATTATCCTTTCATATCAATAGTTCTTTTTTCTTTGTTTATACAGGAAAAAAGAACGAACTTCGTAGAACAGAGACTTTAGCATGTATGCATCGTCCCAATTATTATAAGATTTTCAGTATGCATGATCAATCACATACTTATACCACTTCATATGGCAAATCTATGACCTAGTTCTAGAAATGGTCTATCTTCAGGTTTAAAAGCACCATCTGCTCTTAACGATGCCACCAGCAAAATTGCTGTTAATAAAAAAATAAATCCCTAAGTAATGGCAAAATCCAAAGTCCAGAAGAAATTTTCAAGTCCTGACTACTCTTACAGAGACCACAATACAAATACCAGCTAACTTTTAACAAAAGGTGATGAGGTTCAAATTAGTCTTACTCCCTCCTTGGCTCCCACATTGTGCAATGAATTAATAAGACTGTTGCAAGGAAGAGCAACATGGGAGCTGAAATAAGGAGAATGGGAAGAAAAATTTAGTTTTTTATTGCTAAGAGTTCTTAAAAATCCAAAATAAGATACAGGTTTCAGACAGTCAAGGGAAAGAATCCTTCTTCTCTCCAGTAATGCAAAGAAAAGGATTTACTCTTGCTAAATAATCTTCAGAAATGTATGTGTATATTGGCAAATTTTTTTTTCATATTATCAAATTAAAACTTCTGTAAAGCCATTAAAACAGAAATTTTGCCAGAAAGTCTTTGTTCCAGAAAAAGGAAAGGTTGGTGAGCTACATAAAAACTGGTAGACTGAACGTTCTGCCAATTGATTTAGCAATCCGTTATGATCATAGTTGCATAATGAAAATAAAGTTATTTTTCCTTGTTTTGAGTGAAAGTTTTCAAGCATTTCCTTTAACATTTTACATATTAAATTTGGTATAAAGTAGGTATTATGCAGAAGTATGGAATTATTTCTTCATATCCTGTGACTATATCTGAAAAGTCTTTCGTTGATCTAGGAAAAAAAATTGAAATCTTTACCTCTGTACAATTAATAAACTTCAGGTACCTACGGCAAATGAAGGTACTCTTTTTTTATGATTCATTTGAAATGCATGTTTCTTTATCCAATCTCCTTGTCCAAGACCTGTTCAGTTTTCTATTGTCATGTGTCTTCCTCAATACAACCAAAAATATGAAACTGTTTGCAGACATGCATAACAGTATTATTTTTCAAACATATTTTAATGCAACAGAAATTAGGTCAGCTTCCCTTTATATTCATATTTAAGTTCTCAAATTAGAAGTTCTATAAGAAAATATTCATATACAGAAAACAGTTCAAAGGAGAGCCAAAATGCAGTCTACTGAATACCAAACAAAACAAGAATATGACTTCAGCAACTATATCATTATGCAACAGATATCAATACAGAGTTATCTAAACCTAAAATGAAATATTTATCACTTAAATAAATAATAGTGATAAAGAAGTCACTTAATGTTCTTATTAAGAATAATAAAATCTGCAACTGTAGTTATACTGCCTTTCACAGGATTGTCTATTCCTTCCATCAGTTGTATTTCTGTAGCAAATTTTCAACATTTAAAGTCTTTCTGAAAAGTTAGTTTGAGAATTTAAGTACTGAATGTTTTCAGAGGAGGAAAGCAGGGCAAGGTACGAAAAATAAAAGCAAACATAGCAGAAAAGTGTACAGGAAGAAGCAATTAGTAAATTCCAGGAATTCTTTCCCAACCTCATTCAAAAACAGTTCTCTCTTGCATAGATTAATCCAATCATCTCTCCTGCACACACCTTGAAAGCCTCTTCACCAGCCTTTAATCATGCTCTTCACCTTTCTACCATGCTTATCCTTCACCTCCAGTCTCCCAGCAACTGTTCTCTCTCCCTCAAACTTTCTCTGCCCTTCCTGTGATAAAGCCTCCCCCTTTCCTCATCAAAAAAAAAAAAAAGAAGTGATATGATGAAGTTTTAAAGTAGCACCACCTGCACAGTCCTCCAACTTTCCTTCCAGCAACAGGAAGGCTCTGAAACTGGAGATGGAACCTCCCCAAGAAAGTTAACTTCAGTTTGGCTTTGCAAGTTCTCAGACTTTCATACAGTAGCTTAAATTGGCTACTCCTTAAACAGTAAGTATGTAGAAGCAGAGTAAATGGACAAAAAAAAAAATAGCCTGTCTGTTATGGGGAAAAGAAGTCTATTCACATAAAATTGATGCTGCATCCATCTTCTGCCTAGTAAATTAAGATGCTGCCATGTAATTTTTCCCAAGACAAAAAAAAGCATAGATGACACTTGAATAAAGTACATTGGCATAATCCAATATGAAATACTTGTATGCTTGTGCAACACTCAAATACATGCAGTATGGTTAATACACTACTGTACCTCATTTTGAAGTTCATCGCCACTTTTGGTAGACGCAAGCATCTCGTACAAAGTACAGCAGAGGTCTTCTGTTGTTGGCCCTCCAGGGGTATTGCCTTGAGATTCATTCAGATACTTTCCAACCTCACACCATAAAAAAGAATCATCTACTTTTTCCAAAGACTTGAGATCAGACTTCTCATCACAGAAATTCTGTAAGTGATTCAGCTGGTTATTCAGAAATTTGTTATAATCTAAGCTTATAATTTTCTGTGCATCAGCCTCACCATTCACAGGCAGCTCCTCAGAGTGATCCAAATCATGCATGTCAAATGAAAACACTAAATTTTTACCGAAGAACACTCTGTTATCACCATTTTGCTCTTCAGCCATCTGTATGAGGGCTGTAAGCTGTTCTTCAGTGAAGTGAGAAGCAATCCGACATGTGGCATTACAAGCTGCAGTAGCAGATGATGATGGAAATGGCCCAAACATCTGCTTGATCGCCTTTGTCTCATCATGACCAACACATTCTTTCCTGTGAAATGTCTTAAAGAGAAAAACAGCTCCACTTTCAATTGCTTCTTGTCCATTTTCAGCTCCAACTGTTAACAAAAGCAAAAACAAATGTAACTTTATACACTTCAAACTAATTCTTTCATTCCCTATAGCATAACTGTATTCAATTTCTTACTGCAAGTCTCATCAACAGAGATAGGAAACAAAGACCATAACAAGTAGCAACTGTTGCAAGGTACTGAATTATAAAAGATATATGATAATAAGACATCTGTCTTCATTATCCTTCTACCTACTAGAAATTCATATTAAGGATTGCCAATGCTTTCTTATTTTTCCAAGTAAGAGCAAAAACTTGCCTGAGATCTTAAACTCACAATAGTATATCTATGAGCTTTTTAAAGGTAACAAATTTCCACTTTGTATCAATTCACTGCCAAATCTGAATATTCATAACAGACTAAACGTACAGAACTCAGCTGGGAATTACTACATTCTTGTAGTAATTCTACAGAATGCATGTTAGTTAGAAAAACTGCCCAGAGAAATTAAAGAAAATAAAGGCATGAATGTAGATTCATATCTACAAAATATCACATTATGCAAATAAAAAATATATTATTAGAGAAAAACATTAATTTACCTCTTACATAAATATTTGCAACAGTGCTCAAGGAAAACATAAGCAAGATCACCATATGATGAACCAAAATGTCACTACTAAACAAGATTTTAAGAGTCATGAAGCATTAAATAAACAAAACCAGCCAGCATACTGGTTTTATTGTTTGTTTTATATGAGGACAACATGCAAAATTTTTCGTAGGTTACTCTAACGTTTTTAGTAGAATTAGCATTTCTTACAAGATTGCATAATTTTTAAAACATCTTAAAAGGTTTCTGTTGAGGTTTACAAGACACTATTGTCAAGATGTCTTTATCTAGTCAATTCTGTAATTATTTCAGGAGCAATGGGCATAGCTCCAGCAAAGAACAGTATGCTTTCAGTGATAACACTGGTGATTAACCCCCGGGATGGCTAATTCAAAATAACTATTAAAACAAGCTATTTATTTAAAAAGAAACAATATTATTCATCTTTTTTTTAAACCTCAAAAAGGCACTTCTGACATGGCAAATGCGACAATTCTCTTTTCAGAAATCAAAACTGTCCTGTGCCTGCCTCTGTACACCACTGCTATCCAGTTATGGGCCTATGCATTTGCTCCACTATGTCCCTGTCTTCTGCCTATTTAAAAACTTACTGAAATCAGTGTGAAGATTTTAAATTACTTTGGAATTGTTACTTGTGACTTGATTCAAAGAAAGTTAGGTTCAACTCCAGTGAAGACAAGTTTTTTTCCACACAATATAACAGGAAAGATCAAAAGAAATTCAGCATAAGCAGATGGAACAAGGTTGAGTAATGAGAAACATAACATATAAATGGAGGCACCTAAAAATTCAGTATTTTTCTTGAATTTCCCTATGGTGCACTTTGAAAAGCTGAGAAGTTCATGGAAGTGATTGGAGGTGATATTTACAGGAGAATTAGATACCTACATATGGAAGACACGTGACAAAGATACACACATACAATATATATGTAAATATATCTCAAAGGAAAAAGGTGGTTGAGCCTCCCTCTCAGCATTAGCTATATAGAAATCATAGGAAAAAAAACAACACATCATCTGAAAACTGATAGGCCTAAGTTTGGCTCCATGAACCTCACTCATATTCCTAATATACAAATACACATCATTATTTTAAGTCACTTTGTGTCAGAACAGAACTACATGTTAACTAAACTAAAAGAGCAATTATACTAAAGGAGTTGAGAAAAGTATCTTGAGTTTATGATGTGCTAATTCTCCTTTATTATCAACATCTACTATTTGTGGAAGCATCTCTTGAGAAAATACTACCCCTCCTTTTCGATTGTAATGAGCCAGCCAAGATGGCATGAGATGCACTACTTAAAAACAAAAAGGGAAGAGTAGCTTCAAGCCAAACAGATCATTTCAGTAAGTGACATTTTCCCTGTCAAATAAATCAATATTACAGTATCTGTTGCCTAAACTGAGTTTTCATTTCCTCAAAATTAAGCTTGTATGCCTTTTTAGCAATTCCCTTCCCCTACTGTACATTTCTGATTATGATGGTCGGAACTTTACTGTCAGTTCAGTTTGTGCCTCAGTCACTATAATCACTTCTGCTTTGTGTCTCCATAACATTGCACAGCTTTAGTCAGAAGTGTCAAAGCTGACCGCTTCTTTCTAACTTGTTTTAACTAAATAATCATGCATTTGTTGTCATTTGGTTTGACCTCTCCACTCCATCAAACAAAAATTTACTACTATTACTTCCAAGTCTTTCAATTTGCTCTACATACCCACCACACTGGGACTGCTATTAAAGTCTGAGAAAAGAAAAAAAAAAATTTTGGAAGTTTTTGCAGCCATCTTTGGCAAAAAGTGGAAATAAAAAACAAAAAAATTGCAGCTAATACTAATTTCCATCATTAACACAGAAAACATAAATCTGCCAAATTATTTTCATAGATAACATTTGCAGCTGAAATAAGGATCTAAAACAATTGTAAGGTTTTAGCATGTGTCACTAATCAACTGTAAGTTTTGCAAATTTCTTAATATCTGGAAGGTTATTGATGACATGATTAGTTTGACTTCAGTATAGAATTCTTTAGCCTAATAAATGTGTGATTATGTTTAATGGCCTATTCTCATAGTCCTTCGGCTGTATTTCCTCAATGCTAACATTGTAACTGTGTAAAGGGTTAATCACGAGGAAAGCAGGCCTCATGAAAATTAAAATAAAGAAAAGTTAAGAGCAAGGACCAAGAGATTAAAGAGAACAGAGAAGATATCTTAACCTTGAGCACAGAGACAGACTGGCAGGAATGCCCTAACAAGGATGATACGAAGGAACCGCTTGGCTTGACAACAGAAGGAGCAAACATCCAAGGAGAAGAAATTATCCTCAAGAGACCCGTCACCATAAAAAGGAAAAAGGAGCAGGGGGCTACCTCCCCAAACAACCACCCGAGACTCCTCCGCATGTGTAGCGTAGTTTTGCAATGCCAGCATTACATAAATGTAGTAGATAAGCAAGGAGGCAGTAATGTCTTGGAAAATGTGTGAATATTCATGTCTTTAAGGTATATAAAGGATGAACTTTTGTTTCAGCGCACGCATGTTAGGAGGAGATATCCCCCATGCGTCCAGCGCTGCAATAAAGATGTCTGCTTAATAACACTTTGATGTTATTGAGTTTAAATTTCTTGTTTGGATTTCTTTGAATCACAGCTAAGAATGGCAAGTACTTATTTTGCTTATAACCTTTTTTCCACAATCAGACACTTTTTCCTACTTTCTGTACTACATACGGTCATATTGTAAACTTTATAGTCATTATGTATTTGTCAACCCTAACTTCACCAACATTTTACTCCAGTACCACTTATGATTAAACTACACCCCAGTGGCTATTTAGAACAACTATGTAGATCTTCCCCACTCATTCCAAGTTGCTTGTTATGGACATAAATATATGTCCATAAATTAAAGGAAAATGACATGCCAAATCTCTCTACAGCTCTGATTTACATAGTCTGCTGTGCCTGATTGGTACTTGAACCAGGTCCTTATTTAAAACTCAGTCTTCCTCTCCCAGGTGAGTCTCATGCTTGTACAAAGTATATCTTGCAATGATTTCCAGATGAGCAGCTTTACCTCAAAAACACAGAGTTTTGGTTACGTTACTTACAAAAAATTACTATAATATCTAAAATGAGTACAAGTATGGAAAGTAATCATGTATTCTACTGGCTAAGAAACAAAGCCACTACAGGAGAGCTATCTGAATCACCTGAAGGGCAATTAACTTTTAAGTTCAAATTAAAAAAAAAAATATTAAACTTATTAGTAATTAATTATATTCCAAAAAGAGTCTTGAATGCTTTTAAGCATTTCTGTGACAACTTAAAATTATTTTTTTGTCATTGACAGACAAATATAGGACAGTTTTCACAAAAAAGTTTTCCCTTTCAACCTGTGAGAATGATGTTAGGACGGGTATATATAACAGAACTGGGAACCAACTGGAAGAAATTACAGATTAGTTGATTATTTGAGAGGCAAAAGGGGGAGCAAGGAGGAGTGCCAAGAAATGAGAAAAGGGTAATATAAACTATGCAAATGTTGTCATTTGGACAGTCCAGGGGTAATCGTTAGGCAGCCCTGCACTTGATCAGCAGAAAGAGGAGAGGACAATAAACTCACTTGTTGTTCTGACCATACCGCGTATTGCAAACTTGCTATCACAGTCAGGAGGACTGGGGACAGAGGAAGAGTTGGCTGCCCTTACTTGCTAGTAAGGGGGCAGATGGATCAAGCATCCTTGTAACACCATGTCAATGCCTGTTCCAGGTCTGACATCTTCCTAATATCCCTATGTTATCCTCAAAAATTAATCTGAATCGATCAAATCATGGAAGAGAAGTGACACAGGTTAACATTTGCATTGTAATAAAACACACTCTGGTCTATAGTGAAAAAAAAAAAAGGCAAGTATATTTGTCCATATTAATTCTTTCCATCTCTTACTTAGGGTTCTGTTCAAGATACTGGAAGCATAACCAGAAAAGGAGAAAATGTACCTGTTACAATTGAAATGAAAAATTCTTAAATCCATGACAGCTAGAGATTTGGCTATGTGCTAAGTTTATGAGTTGAAGTGAAATTCTGCTAACAGCACAAACTGAATTAGTTTCAGTCTGTAGCTCAAAAACTAAGTTTCCAATCAAAACTGTTTTCACACCTTCTTAGCCATAATATATATTCAGTTTTAAAAGATTAATTCCAGATGAGTGAAATTAATTATTTATTTCTCTCCTCAACACCAGACACTTCAAGCAGAAAACTTTTTTTTTTTAGCCACTTTTATCTGCTTATGTAGCAAACCAATTTTTCATGATATAATCACATGGAATTAAAGCTGGTAACACCAAGATTTTCTCAGAGTATTGCCATTCCAAAAGAAGCTGTTGCTTTTGCTTACTACAGGTCAATCACAAACCATACCACACACTATATAATACTATCAAAAAAGCAAGGATATCCTAATCATATTTTAAAATAAAACTGAAAGCCAAATTGTGCCTATACCTATCAGATTAACTGGAGTTTCAAAGATACTTCAGGGCAAGCCTGGCATCAAGGCAGAACTAAAATTGTACCAGTGCGCGAAGTATGCAGGCAGAAAGCAGCTTGGAAAAAACCAAACAAAACCGTCTATTATTAGACTACTAGAAACTGAAAACGTACCTATTTGTTTTGCAGCTTGTAATATAGTTTTTAAATCACTATTTACAGTTTGGTGTTCTTTTTTGTCCAAATTGTCATCAACAAAATTTATTATCTTCTTCCAAGTAAGATCAGACTTCAGCAACTGTTCATGTAGTTTTGATCTTTTAGTCTGAAAATGCAAAATATTTGGGTTTTTCAAGTGAGTACATAAAATTTCCTTTAAAATTAAACACCAGATAAAAAAAACAAAACAAAACTCTTTCAAGTTGCATTCAGTCAATATGTAGTAGTGACTGCAAGCAGTTTTCCTATTACCTGTTCTTTACAAAATGCGCAAAAGAAGGAGGAGGATACACATACACACTCTCTCACTACTTTGCAGAGAATTCTGCTTTGGAAAGAGTAAAGCCAAACTCTTGCAACTTCAAGAGATTTACAGCTCCCAAGATTCCAAACTCATTTCACATTACAGGTTCACACAATGCATCTATTACTTTAATGCATTACTTCCTGGGGGTAACAACAACAACAACAAAAAAAAGGTACCTCAACTCAGTATCACTAAATGTATTCTAAACAACCCCAGTGAGAGTCTGAGGTGAACTTAATGTCCAAAGGGAAATGTTTGGCTCCACAGCTCTGCAAAAGCTCACAGCTTAAAAACTTACCAGCCCTGCTCAACTTAAATAACTTCCTGCAAGGTGAAATAACAGGGCTGTACTAACACAGCCAAGCGACCCTATCCATATAGCACGTCATGATTGTAAAGGCCTAGCATAAATCACAAAGCTACAGCAAATTTGACTTCTGAGTGAGGACACTATGAAGGAAAGCACAGGAAATTATACACACTCTGCCCAGTCTTGCTTGCCTACTCTTACAAAATAGCAATGCAAATTAAGAAAGTAAACAATTCTTACTATACACACACTAATACTTTACAATTATGCTTTGAAAAAGAAAAAAAATATTTACCGTTAAGTCAGCTAATTCTTCACTGTAATCCTCATGTTTGGTGACATTTGAAAAGGAGCGTAAAGCGCCTGTAAGACGAGGCAAGGCCATCTGTTACTCATTCAGTGATCCATAGGATGAGAAATTAAATCCCAGTTCAAGCACCTAGATGAGAACAAAACAAATAACACGGCTTTGTTAACGCTATAAATACAAATTCGCATCACAGACTTGAAAGACCTTTTTGAACAAGCAGAACTTGGCCGGCACTTCAATAAACAAGTTAAAAAAATCTCTCTCAAACTGCTGATAATCAAGATTCAATAGACGGGAGATGAAAGCACGGACAGTAAGCACAGCACGATAACATGTGGAGGTCACTCAGTAGGTGGTTCTTCTCTCTCCTCCCTAAAGAAAAGTTACCAGCAAGAGGTAAAATGGCAATTATTCCTTTAGCAACACTAACACAAGAGTATTAATAGTGAAATCTATGTAACTGAACTTTAGCTCCCAACAGCAGTAAGTGACTACAACCTACAGGAAAATTTCCTCTGAACCAGCCCACACTGGAAGCTTTCAGGTCATTAATAGCCTCCAGTGCCGATGTAGGGCCATCCTTCTCGACAACCGCTTAGCCATTTTTAACCAGCACAACAGGCAAATAAAATTACAACAGGGAAAAAAAAAAGACTGTACCACACATAGCACTGAACAATTCTAAGAGATAAAGGGAATAAAAGGGCTACTGGAAAACTGAAAAAAAAAAGTATGCCTCGGTATGTTTTAATCTCACAACTGGGAGTGCACAAACACACAGTGCAGGGGCTCCCTCCAGGTCGACAGCCTATTTCGGCACGGTCTTATTTCCTGTGTGAAACCAGCTCATATCTATGCAGCAAAATACAGCTGTTCTCTATCTGAACTTGTACTCATTCCAAGCCTTGTACTGAAACTATTCTCAAAGTTGTTTAATTTTGAAAGGTGCCCAGAGCTGAATTGTTTAATGAACTCTAATGCACAGCTATAGTTTCTGATGGTAGCAGATAGATACAGATTTAGATTATTTCTGAAGCAATTAATGATACAATTAAAAACCTAATGATCTGCGTCATGCCTGAAGACCATTGGCCATCCAGAATTTAAATAACTTAAGACAGAGTTAACAAAATTACTTCTCCCCCCCCCCAGTCTCATATACTGTACAGAACTCCCTACTTTAATCCAATTATCTTTAACATTTTTCTTCATGTAATGACTACATTTGTATTTTAGCTATCAGCTTTGCAATACAGCACAAAAGCAAACCCAGATGCAGCGTTCCAGTCACAGACAGAGAAATGTCACTGACTTGTCAGGTCTGCTTGTTTTCCTACCTCACATTAAGACGCTTTTTGCGAAAAGGTATCACAACAGCTGATATTTTGGAGACAAATGTTATAATGATGAAGCTACAAAATGTGGAAATATAAAATCTTTAACTGTGAAGGGTATAGAGAGGACATGTTCAAATTCAAGCCTAGAAGCAGACAGAGCCAAGCAACACTGTCACTTTTGAGATGTTCAGTGGCTATGACATGTAAGTCATACCAGCATTAGCTCCCAGTGAAAATACCCTGTGAACATATAGCCACCATTACAGAAGAGAGTAGCATGTCCAAAATTTGAGGGAATCTAACCTGGCCTTTTTTTTGCTTGAACACAACAAGAACAGTAAATCACACTCATACTTCTCCAATGACAGCATTGCCATCAGCTATTAAAGCTCACTCCATTTTGCCTATTTATTTTATACCTACGCTCAAATACCTTTTTCTGTAGAATTATGGTCCTTTACAATTAACATATAACAACGTAATTGTAATATTATCATCTTAATTGTCCTTTCTGAAATAACATGCAGAGAAGTTTATGAAAGTTCAAACCCACTTGTTAAAAGTTCACTTTTCACATACACAAGATTGTAAAGCATCCCCAGCAAGTCCATTTGTTAGGAAATCAAGTTTTAAAGGAGTGTTTCTTCCTCCTTTATGCATCGAGTTACTAACACTTTCTGAAATAAAAAACCTGGAATCCCACAGGACAAGTAAGGGCACACCTCCTTGATGGCAGGCATGGCCAAAAATCCAGCCCCAAAGCCCTACAGTTGAGCTCCTATTAATAAATGCTTCTCCACACGTGCCTATGTGCTGCTTTCAGAACTTGCCGGTCACAGAGAGGACTGGTTTGGCAGAGCAGACGCCCAAGGCTTCTGCACCTCATTGACAAGCAAACCCCACACGTGCCCTGCACTTCTGGTCCATGACACCCATCCTTACCAGGGCACCACAAGAAAACAAAAATAGCCATCAATTAGAAAGTAGGGGACAGGTGCAATTATTCTACTGTTAACATGGAAAACAAGGTAAATATTAGGAACTCACAATATTATTCTGCACCATATGAGAGCCAGCTGTAAATGCTTAGTCAAAAATACTGTGGCTTTATGAGATGCAATGTAAACTTACATTTGTTTTTTTAAAAAAAAAAAGTTACCTGCTTTCCCACAAAGCCTGCTGATGTAGACACTCGCCTGCATCACATTGCCTTTACAGCGGGTCAGCTACTGCTTGTAGCCACCATAAGGGTAACTAATGAGTTCTGGTTTTACAGAAATATACCTATTTGCCTGCAGCTTGATCTGAAACATCTGTACTACCAAATGATCCTGCTAAGACCTGTTGGGTTTGGAACAAGGACATAAACGGTAGCAGCGATTAAATACAATTTACCAGGACCCACATATAGAGACACAAGATGAACTTTTGCCATTCTTCTCCCTGTTCTCCCCTGAGAAAAAGGCATGAGAATAGGTATCATCTTATTTCATGTTTGTAGAGGGACAAGTGGAATGGGAATTTAACCTCAAGATCAGTGCAACTTTATGTGGTAAAAATACCCTCCTCTACCCAACCCCATCTTCAATCAATCAAGTAAGGACAATTTGGGCCCATTATGCTAATGTTTTTAAGGAAAATTAACTGAAGTTTGACAATTCCTAGCACTACGTCTCAAACTTCACCCCTCTTCTAAAAAAAAAAAAAATTAAAAATCTTAACTTTCGAATACATTTCTGTCCATTAAGCAGAAAGAATAATATCCCCTTTTCTAAAGCTTTGTGAATGAGAAGCAATATCTTTTAAACCTTATTGTACTACTTTAAAAAAAAAGTTATTTTAACATTGAAACGTTTTATGAAAGTAAAACATAAAAGCAGACTATACTCAGAATTTAGGTATTAAACAATTCAAAGTTTATAGTTTGAAAGTAAACCTAACAGCAAACATGGATCAATCTCAACAGGTTGGGTTTTTTTTCCCATGTACTACTTCAAAAAAAAAGTGATTTTAACATTGAAACGTTTTATGAAAGAAAGTAAAACATAAAAGCAGACTATACTCAGAATTTAGGTATTAAACAATTCAAAGTTTATAGTTTGAAAGTAAACCTAACAGCAAACATGGATCAATCTCAACAGGTTGGGTTTTTTTTCCCATTAAGTTGATAAATATAAAAAATTGCTACCAATATTATGAAGGTAACTAACATTACTGGAGAAGTTTTCCACTTTACATTTTTACCAACTACTTAAGTTTTCCTCCCATTCTGGACCTTCCTATTTTCTTCTATAAGGAAATATCAGGACCATCTCTTTCTCTTCTCCACTGACATGTTACAGAGATTATGGTCAAAGAATTTTTTGTTATTGCTGTTTTGTTTTAAACTTACTTATTTCAATTCCTATACCCGTTAACAAAACAAGCCAGCTGCCCAGTAGGGCTAAAAGAATGGGATTGCTGAAATGCAGGTACCTTAATTTTCAAGTTGAAAACGATGGAATAACAGAGCATTAAGAGAATCACAGGTAAAAATTAGCAGTTGCATTATCCTGAAGTACCAGCTCCTGTAGCCTCTAGTATTTGGCATATTACAGGTCCCTTAAAACCTCAGAGTTTTCATTTTGTTTAAGCTCTGTAAGGAATATTAAGCATTCTTATCAGGTTTTGCCTATAATTCTTTAATATTAACAAGTTTCCTGCTGTCTAGGTAGACTTCTCATCTATAAAACCTGAAGAAGTTATTATTGATTACTAATCCAATCAAAGAGAAAGAGGCTTTATGCATTGACAATTAAGAGCAGGTTGCTATTGACCACATCGCATTTGGGTCAAATGGTGGTTTTACTTTCACTTGTCAAAATGGAATAATTTCAAATTAGAAGGAAGCTAAAAAAGCAAATGATATCCCAGCCATAAGGCAATTAAAAAAAAGGGCCAATGCAATAACTTTTTTTTGTACTTCAAAGGCATTTAAAAAACATTAAAATAAGTATTAGCACAGGATTATCTAAAAAAAACACAAAAGCAGCAAGACCATGAGGACACATTAAGACATTTTAAACATATCCACTGTTGTGGTTTAACCCATTAAACAGCTCCATGTCACACAGCCATTCGCTCAAGGGAAAAGAATCATGATAATGATAAAAGAATATTCAAAGTGAGTGATGCACAATGCAATTGCTATTGCAATTGTGCAAAAAAACCAACTGATGCCCAGCCAGTTCCCAACCAGTGGCTCCTGGCCAGCTTTCCTCCTAGTTTATATACTGAGCATGACATCATACGGTATGGCCAGCCTGGGTCAGCTGTCCTGGCTATGTCCCCTCCCAGATTCCCATGCACCCCCAGTCTACCCTGTGCTGGGGTGGTGTGAGAGGCAGAAAAGGCCTTGAATTATGTGTGAGCACTGCTTAGCAACAACTAAGACACCAGTGCGTTATCAACATTATTCTCATCCTAAATCCAAAACACAGCACTACACCAGCTACTAGGAAGAAAACTAACTCTATCCCAGCTGAAACCAGGACAATGCACACACAGAATATTTTATTTCTTTACACTATTATGAAAGAGGAATAAAAATAAATCCTAAAACATTAAATTTTAGTGACATGAACACATTTTAGAATTGCTACAATTAACCTCAGCAGCTTCACTGACACAAAAGTAAACTTCATATTTTATTTACAAATAAGCCTCAATATTTTTTAAAAAACCCCACATTCTATTTGGTGGGTATTTCCCACTGCCATTTTAAAGAAATAAATAAAAGCATTAGACAAAAAA